GTGTTTTTGCCCCATTTGTTTTTTTACTTCAAAATAAGATATGTGCAGTGTGCATAGGAATTTGCTCATAGCTTTTTTTTTTAAACTATAGTCCGGCCCTCCAACGGGTCTGAGAGACAGTGAACTGGCCCCCTGTTTAAAAAGTTTGAGGACCCCTGTATCTGATTGCTGTGCTGCCGCATGACCCAGAACATCAATGAGAGCTCTCGGTTAAAAGAGAGCTCTGGGGATTTTATCACGTGAGTCAGCCCCGACTCAGGGCGGGAACACTATTTTGAAAAGGATTCTGAGGCCGGATCCGAGTTTGATCCATCCTGATAGGCTGGTGATGTCTGTGCCCTGGCCAGACCTGTGAGTCAGGTCTCAGGATTTTCAACTGAGAGAGACCTCGGGCCATTACTGTGGCCCAGAGTCTCCAAACACGAATCACGTCATGGAGCTCCAGGAGGTCCTACTGGGCAGCCATGGTCACACGGTGGGTTAAGCGTGTGCTGTGTGCATGGTCACGCAGTGAGTCAGCATATCCCTGGTCACGTGGTGAGTTCGCATGTGCACAGCCGCACAGTGAGCTAGCGTGTGTGGTCACATGGTGCATTGGCATGTCCGGGTCACACAGAGTTCGCAGCAGAACGGGACTGGTGCCCTGCCTCTAGCCCCCACCCTTCCCTCCAGCCCCATCTCCGGTCAGGCAGCTGGGCGCTGCCGCTTGGACAGAGGGTGGTGCGAGAGGTGCAGGGACAGAGTTGGCCGATGTCCTCACACCAAGGGACGCGCCCACACCCTCTCCCCAGCCCTCACTGGGATAATTACATTTCTGCTCCTCCTCGGGGACAATCCGGTAAACCTTGTACGGCTCGGAGATGTCCAACTGGGACCGCTCCGTCACTTCCTCAAAATCTGGGCTCTTGTTAAGCGCACAGCGTAGCCTCGTCTTCCAAGTCGCTGGTTCAGCTTTGTCTCCTTCCTTGAACTTCCCCTTAAACACTGCCCAGGCCTGCAGAGAGCAAGGGGTACGTAAGTCCGCAGCTACCCCCACCCGTCACCCCCGCCACCGTGGAGCCCAGCGGCCCCGGCCCCTCCCGCAAGGACTTCTGGGCCCTTCTCCAGGGCTGTGGGGACGGATACAGGGACCTCGACCAGAGCGATGTAGCTGGTGTGGAACATGACTTTTGCTCCACCACCTCCCACTGGGCTAGCAGAACTGGGACCGCCTTCCAATCCAGACCCCTCCAAGCCCACCCGGGAGGGGAGGGCCTGGAGTAACCTGGGGTTCACTGGAGCAAAGAGGAACTTTCCTGTGTTTTCAAAACAAAGAACCACTAGATGCTGGGTTTTTTTACTTTTTGTCTTTTTTTCAAATCAAGCCCTGGCTAAAATGTAGCAAGAAAAAGGGAACCCGGAGCTAACAGTCTGCGGATGGCCGTCCGTGCAGCCAGCAACTTTTAATAGAAACTGGCTTTGCATGTGACATCGCAAGCTGCCGTCCCCCAGGGCACTGGGGACGGAGGTGCCACGCTTGTTTGTTTCCTCCTCCCTCTGTTGGGGCTGCTTGCTGTGCTGTGCTCTTTTATATTTGGGTCTGGCAGTTTCAGACCTCTTCCAACCTTGGCAGTGCAACTGGGCCCAAAGAGTCAACACTGAAGATTTGAAGTGCACACAAAGAACAGTGCTCGCGCATGCGCGTGTCGAAATGCACACATGTCTATCGGGAGGCAGACTGAGCCTCAGGTTGGAGGCGAGGCCACGGTGTCCGCTGACCATCGCCAGGACATCCGGGGCTTTGTTAACCTTGACCCTCCTTTCAGATGTAACTGTCTGCGTTCCACCCCAACGACTGAGAACGCTGCAGACAGAGGCACAGTGACGGGGTCCTTCCTGATCCTTCCAGAAGCAGCGGGGATTCTCAACTGAGCTCAGGAAACACACTTCTGAGGCCCCCGTGTTCCCAAGAGGCCGGTCTGAGCCTGACCCGGGCGTGGTTCTGGTTTCCTCTGTGGCAAAGGTCCTCAGGCTGAGTCTTACCACGAAGTCCTGGCAAGCCGGCCCTGCCCCACAGGACGCTCAGGCTACAGGCCGGGCTGAGCCTAGGGACCAGCATCTTGGGCCAGCCCTCCCCCTGTGGCCTGGGGATTGCAGGCTCCACTTCCAGAAACTCCACTAGGCCCCCCAGGAGCCAGGCTCTGCTGAACACATCGTGAAGTGCCTGCCCATCGGCTTGGGGTCAGGGCTGTGCCCTGGCCGCCACTTGGAGTGCGGACGATGGGCCGGGGCCGGGCTGAGACTGGCTGGTTGCCCCGCCCTGGGAGGGAGGGCTCCTCAGCTGACTCCGAAGCAGAGCTCTCTTCTTGAGAAATCTCTTCGAACTAAAGGGCCCAAGAGCTGCCTGTTCTTGGCTCACCGCACGGCTGGTCTTGCAGCTCATTGTTCTCAAAAGAAAAACAGGAGCCCCGTGTCCTGACGGGACAGCACTCTCCAGCTGTCCTGACTCGGAATCAGGGTTCCCCAGGCCGGTCCTTCTGGGATGGGGGGACGCCTTATGCATGGTGGGGCCTTCCTGCCTGCCTCCGCCTTTTCGATGCCGGAAGCCCAGGCCCTGTTATGACAACTGACCAGGTCGGTGCACACCTCTAGACTCACCTCCAACCTCTCGGATTCACCCCTCAGGAGGGATACTGCACCCTGTGCCGCCAGAGCAGAGGGCATGGGGGTGGTGTGATCGCCGCCTTCCCCCTCGGGGGCCCCTGGGTCGCCCCGTATCTTCGATGGGCCTCTGGCTGTGGGAGCTTCATGACAGTGCCCACTGCCAACGAGTCACTCACGACTCCTGCGGGCCTCTCGCAGGGTCCAAGGGCCAGTTTCGTCTCTCCTGTACGGCCACTGGTGCACTGAAACCATTGACCTTTGGGGCAGCAGCCAAGCACTTAACCAGTACACCACCAGGGCTCCATGGCAGTCCCAGGCCAGGGCACTACCAGGCCTGAGGACGTGCTCATCTGTGGGCCCTGTTCACACAGAGGAAGGCCATCAAACCAGGGCTGTGTGGTCAGGGAGGTGTGTACAGTGTCTGTACAGCTGGCCCTGCCCCGTGAGCCAGCCCAGAGGTCCCTCCTGGCCCTTCCAGGGTCGGAGTTAGACCGGCAACAGAATGAGTCCTGCCGCCCAGGCTCCTGGACCTGCCCACTGCAGCCATCAGTGCCCTGCTCCGTAGCAGCCAGCTGCCGCACGGCACCCAGCCCCTGGGTGTCCCTAACTCGATCCCTGGGCTGGTGAGCTAGCGTCAACATGTCACAGCTCAGCTGCTGCTACGGTTGGCCGTGAGAGGCCACTGGCCAGTGGCCCTCCCTCTGCCCCGTCTGCGTGTTTCTCCCTTCCCCCACACCCTTAGGAAAAGGAGGGCAAACCCTTCATAAAAGGTGCCCATGAGCTGATGGCAGGCTCCTCCATTCCCCTGGCAAGTGCAGAACAGGTGAGGGCCTGTCCACAGGGCCACTGCCGGCCGCAGCACTGAAGGGCCCCTGGGACAGCTAGATTCCTGGGACCCAGTTGTAAAAGCCAGGCAGCAGGTTCATACATTTTTCCCTAACTCAAATTACTGAAACAAAAAAGTAAGTAAAAAATCCTTCTGAGGGTTTGAAACGAAAACCCTCAGAACTAGAACGATTCTAGCCACAGTCAAAGGGACGACTTCTTCCAACGCCATAGCGACATGGTCCACACCAGCACCACTACCATCGCTATCACCAGCAATACCAACCTCTCCACTAACACCACCAGCACCAATGTCGCCATTATCAGCAACACCAGCACCAACACCGTCAGCATCATCCACCCTCACCACGACCAGCACCACCGCCGCCATCACCACCAACATCCACATGACCATTGTCACCAGCAGCACCACCACCTCCAGGACTGTCACCAACATCACTGCCACCACCACGTGGGCTGATGCCCACAACATGGGCTCTCAATGTGGAGATTGGCACTGCAGCCACATGTGGCCACTCCGCATACCACCTGCTGGGTTCCTACCAGGACTGTATTCTCACCAGCTCAGCCTATTGCCCTCACGGGGCCCCCACCATGTCCCTCCCGCCCCATTCCTGCTGAGATTGTAGACTCATGTCAGATTGCCACACTGAGTCACTGCGTAATCAACGGAAACACTGGGAATCTTGCACGTTTTCTCGGCCTGTTGAAACTGCCGTGGAAAGCATTGCATAAGACACATCAATCTGGGGCTCTATTTCATTACTCCAGGGACATACGTTGCCTCGGGGAGGGGGGGGAGGGAAAGCCCTGCAGCTACACTGGCCAGCCCCACGCCCAGGGTGCGCAGCCCGCTGCTCCAGCACCTGCTCTATTCCCTCTAAAGTGCCGCACAGGCACCAGCACCGCTGAGTGCCTCCGTTTGGTCTGGCTGTGGTTGACTGAGAGGGTGCTGTCTGGAGACACAGCAGGGCACCAACGATGCTGCCTCTGGAAGGGTCAGGGATGCACTCAACACCTTACACAGGACAGTCCCCACCCCAAAATGCAATCTGACCCCAAATGTCAGCTGAGTGGTGGTTGAGAGATCCTAGTGTCTACCGAGCTAACGGCCAGACCCAAATGGGAACTGAGGCCCTGAGGGCACACAGCCCGAGTCTTTCCCAGGGGAAAGTCACCCTGGTGCCAAATGCACGTGGGGACCCAGAGGCCAACTGGCATAACACAGTCCACAAAGTCGGAGTCACGACCCAGCGCTTCTGAGTGGCGGTCTAGAGCGTAGCCATTGGTCTTTCCACATCTGGGGCAAAGAAGGGTAAAGAAAATCAGAGATGCAAAGAAATAATCAGTTCAGAAGCCTGACTGCCTACGCGAGCCCAGCCTCCGTCTCCAGGGACCAGGAGGACTAGATGCTGCCCGGCTACCCTGCCAACTGCTCGGAAAGGGGTCCACATTTGGTGGAACAAAATGCAAAATTACTTTAAAAGTTAAAAGATCCGGCTTTGTGGTCTGGTGAGACCCTGAGATGATGGCCCTCAAGACGCCCTTTAAAGGGTGGGACAGAGCTCATGCCTACGCCCAAAGCATCCCACCGCCAACAGGGGGGTCCTGACTCATGGTGACCCCACAGGACAGGGTAGAACTGCCTCTGTGGGTTTCCGAGACTGTAACTCCCGACAGAAGTAGAAAGCCCTCGTCTCTCTTCCTCGGAGTGGCTGGTGGTTTCAAACTGCTGACCTTGCAGTTAGCAGCCCAGCACCTAACCCTCTGCGCCACCAGGCCTCTCGCCCAGCAATGACCGGCTTCTCAAGAAAACAGGAACACCTGGGAGGTGTGCCTTCCTTGGGACACCCAGCCACACAGAGAGACGTGTCGGTGCCCGCAGTCAAACTCAAGATCAGAGTGCGCGTCAGCACTGCCGAGAGCCTAGCTGGGGCCCTGTGGGGCTGTGTGCAGCGTGCTCGTGCGTACCCGTTTTTCTCAGAAGGTCTGCGACTCCCGAGGTGACAGGCTGAGCGGGGGGGCTACACAAGGATGCACACTTCCTCAAGCAGCTGGGCCTAGCCACCGTCCACTCCCCGACCTGCGCCCAAGGGGTGATTTCTGTCCTCCCTGAGGAGTCTGGTGGCATCACCGGGCCCTGCAGGTTTGCACCTGTCACTGCCTGTGTTCTGAGGGTGCCCCCCCCCCCCCCGCCTGACCCTGGTTCCCAAACACCACAGGACAAGTGCACCTGGTGGTGTTTGCAGCGTGACTCAGAGGCCACCTGTGTGTCTATTTGCAAACATGGGAGCTGGGGCTCCACCTAGACCTGTGAGCGCCAAAGCCTTAGAGAAGAGAAGCCTACAGGTGACCCTGATGACCCAGTAACCACAGGTGACCAGTGACCCCGGACAGCTGACCGGACCACAGGTGGCCCCAATCAGCAAGCCACAGGCTGCCCTTGCCCCTGGTCCCGTTGCCTGAATCTGGGTGTCCGGAGGACAGACCACTCCCTAGGGTCATGAGTGAGGCTCGCCTGAGTCAAGTAGCCTCGATCAGATGCTGCCCCATCACACGTGAGCTATGAGACCTTGGATGGGTCCCCTCTCCTCCAGGACCACTGTGAACCCAGGGTCACCGCAGCACCGGGCAGAGAGGGCTGCGGTGGGAGAGAAACGTGACCGTGCTGGGTCCAGGCCGGGCACAGGATACATGCCCATCAGCACCGGCCATCCCGCTGCAAACGGCACGTCTCCATGCTGGGAGCACTCCTCTCTCCAGGGACAGCGGGTGACTGCAGACAGAGGCTGCAGGGGGAGGGCAGGCACAGGAATAAGGGGTCTTGGCGCTCGTGGGCATCAGCAACTCCTCTGGGATGCCAAGTGACTTCACCCGACACTGGCTGTAGAGTCACACTTTAAATAAGGGCCAGAACGTGCCTTCCCTCCACGTGGTGGGTGGTGAGAGGGCAGGTGGGGCGTGGGCTGCCGTGTGCCAGCAAGACACCTCACTCTATAACGTGCTGACAAGCAAGGATGTCCCTTTGGGGGCCACGTGCGCCTGGCTCAAGCCACGGTATTTGCCGTGGCCTCCTGTGCACGTGAGCGTTGGGCCCAGACGGAGGGAGACCAAGGACGGAGCCATGCTTGTCGGCATGGCTGGTGAAGAAGACAGAACGGCTGCCAGAGGAACCGGCAGACCCGTCCGGCAAGAAGCACGGCCTGAGCTTGGTCTCGAACACGTAGGACACATTGTCAGGAGCAGCCAGTCCCTGGAGCAGGACACCCTGCTCAGCCAACAGGGGAGGGGGAGAGGGGGGCACAGCAAAGAAGGCAAAGGCTCTCAAGAAGATGGGCAGACACCTTGGTGGCAACAAAGGGCTCCCCAGGAGAACAATGGAGAGGCTGGTGCAGGCCTGAACAGTACCTCCATGACACCCACCAAAGCAGTGATGCCAAGTCACCCCGCCTGCGGGACCCGGCGACGTCTGCTTTCTAAATATCAGATCTGCCCGGAGACAACCCAGGAGCCCTGGCTCTGCCCACCCTGCTCATGTCCCAGGGCCGGGCGGGGCGGGGCAGGGCATTCCGTCTGTACCTTGAAAATGGAGGCGTCCACCTCCTGGTTGTAGTCCTGCTTGCCCGCGTGCTTCCAGGGGATCCGGAACATGCTCTTGGCCTCGTTCTCCCAGATCAGGCCCGGGTACATGCTGCTGTCGATCTGCTCAATCAGCCACTGCCGCAGCCGCCGCCCGCCGTTACGGTCACACATGCTGGGAGATGCCGGGCCATTAATGACAGGGTCTCACTAGCCACCGAAACCCCCCAGACCCCAGCGGGCAGCTGGGCAGCTACAGGGAAGCAGAGGCTGGCAACGGAGGGGCAGGGGAAACCCCAACTCCAGGAACTCTGAAGACACTTGCTGTGACCCTGGGGACACAAGGCTGGCCTCTTCCTCTTGGGGGGGAAAGCCCCGGCTCCTCCAGGAACTCTGGCATACCTGGTGAGGGCAGATAGTGCTGGCCTGGGCTGGAAGCCAGGAATGACAAAGGGAAGCCCTGGGGCAGCCTTCTCCCAGCCAGCCAGATGTTCAGCGGCCCCACCCCTGCTTCTGGCAGGTCTTTCCCAAGCCTCCACCTGATGTTCAGCATCTGGTGGATACACAGACAGCTAACTAAGGTCATCCACCTGTTCTTAGCATGAACTACATACTGTCAGGTACCTTCAAGGAACAGTACTACAGCCCCTCCCACCCCGCCCCCACCCCACCGCTCTATGGCCCGCATGTAACTTGGCTGACTGGTCCTCTGGAGTTACTTGCTACCATCTCACCAGGTAGGTGAGCTCTGTAGCATGGAGTAAGCCCTCAGGATGGGGCCACCCCTTCCAGGTAGCATCGGGGAGTCTGGAACTGCCCTTGACCTCTGCAGGGCCTCCAGGACTGGAGTGGCAGGTGACTAACAGTGCAAGGGGCAGGGCCTGGCAGGGCCTTTTTGAGCGAGGAGCTGAATGAATGGGCCCCGTGCACGTGAAACAGTGCTTGGTCTCTAGAAGATTCTCCCTCAATAACGGCTCTGGCCGCTACCACCCAGCCTTCTTCCCGGAGAAGGACACCAGGCTTGGTGAGGCAAAGGGTCGGAGAAAAAGAGGAAGAGGCTTCGTGAGATGGATGGGCCCAGTGGCTGCAACAGTGGCTCAAACACGGCGATCGTGCATGCAGAGCAGGACGGCGAGGAGGCGTTCGGTCTCTTGTGCGTCCGGTTGCTGCGTGGGGAACGACTAGAGGCATCTGACGACAACTTTCTTGCTGCAAAACCCACTGCCACCCCTGGGCTGGGGTTCGTGTCTGACCCATAAGGCAGAATGGGACTGTCTCTGCAGGTCTCTGAGGCTCTCGATCTTGGTGGGAACAGAAAACCTCATCTTTCTGCTTCAGAGCGGCCGGTGGTTTCGAATGGCTGACCTTGCCATTCAGCAGCGCAACACATAACCCACCGCCTCCAAGGACCCTCAACTTCCTTCCTCAGAAAACAAAGAAAACAGCCACCAAGTCCATCCGCTTCACTGCACTGTGTAAGGCCGGGCGGAGCTGCCCTGTGGGTTTCTGAAACTTCAAGGAAGAAAAAGCCTCATATTCCTCCCACGGCGCCACTGGTGGCTTCGAACCGCTGACTTCAAGGTGAGCAGCCCAGTGTGTAACCCACTGTGCTACCAGGGCTCAGGAGCGAGGTCAGCTGTGGCCACAGAGGGGATTAGAGTGAGCCCGGGCAGACCCTGTCAACCAGCGCCGGCTCTCCGATGCCCACCGACATCCTTGGAGGACCGATTTCAGAGCAGCCTCCGGGCCTATCGACTTACAAGAACAGGGTTGGAAATCCCCTGACGGCTGGACAGACACCCACCCCACCTTCCCCATTAAAAAAAACACAACACTGCTCTTCTTCCTATTACAACGTGACCTCTTCGTGCAAACACGTTTTAAACAATCAGCAGTGACAAGACCTTGTGTCCCCAGAGCACGGTCACATCCAGGGCCTCACTGGCCCATGAAGCGAAACAACTGCCAGGAACCTCTGCCAGAAATGGACATTCTGGAAACTCCGGCTCCTGCAGGTGGCTGTGGGGGCGGGCGGGGGGATGCATGTCCAAACCCCCAAACCCACTGCTCTGCGTAGTGGTTACTCGTTGGGCTGCTAACCACAAGGCTGGCGTGAGAAGCCACCAGGCAGCCCCGAGAGAGAAAGACAAGGCTTTCTACTCCCATAAAGAGTTGCTGTCTCAGAAGTCCACAGAGCAGTTCTACCTTATCCCGTAGGATCTCTATGAATCAGAATTGGCTCAATGGCTGTAAGCATGGTTTGGTTTGGTTTGGTTTGGTTTGGTTTGGTTTGGTTTGGTTTGGTTTGGTTTGGTTTGGTTTGGTTTGGTTTGGCCGAGTCGATTCCAGCCCCGGCCGCCTAGGAGAAGTGCTCCTGAGGGTTTCCCAGGCTGTACATCTTTGCCAGAGCAGAATGCGACCTGCATCGCTCTCCCTCGAGGGGACTGGTGGGTTTGAACCGCCAACCTAGTGGCTAACAGCCCAACCTGTAACCCACTGAGCCACCAGAACTCTGCAATGCAGCTTCAGAGCCACAACCCCAAACTCACCTCCATCAAGTAGATCCTAATTCATAGCAGCCCTCTAGGGCAGTGGAGAACTGCCCCGAGACGATAACTTTTTAACGGAGGAGGCAGCCTCCTCTTTCTCCCGGGGAGCGCCTGGTGGTTTTCAACTGCTGGCCTCTTGGTTGGCAGCCAGCAGTGCCCCAGAATTCTAACATGGCCCGTTGGGATTATAAAGGACAAGGGACCGATTTCCTAGCAAGAAAAATCAAAGAGGACCACCAGCTCCCCCACAAACCAGTCCCGCTGCTCTGAGTCGACTCCGACTCATGGAAGCCCCAAAAGGGCAGCACAGAGCTGCTCCCTGGATCTCCGGAAACTTTCAGTGGTTACAGAGGCAGACAGCCTCCTCTCTCTCCCAGAGCAGCTGATGGCTTTGAACGCCACCCTCGTGGCGAGCAGCCGAATCTTACTGGATGGATGTCCACTGGATGCAACTCATGCAGGGGGGAAAGTCCTGCCACTCTTTTCTGGAAAGAGTGGGGTTTTCCCTGCCTTGCAGGATGGGTTGAATGGGGATGGGCATGGGTATCAAAGCCCCAAAAAAACAACCTCAAAATACAAACCCACCACTGTCGAATCCATCCCAAACCACAGCAACCCACCGGACGGGGAAGAACTGCTGCCTCACGGGGTTTTCAAGGCCTCCACCTTTACGGAAGCATATGCCCCTTCTTCCTCCCACAGGGCGGCTCAAACGCTTAGACCTCCGATCTGTGGTTGGCAGCCGAGCGCTTAACTCATTGCCACTGGTGCTCTTTTCCAAACAAAACACCCAGACCAAACTCACTGCTGATTCCGACTCAGGACGATCCTGTAGGGCAGGATAAGACTGCCCTTGAGGGTTAGACTGTAACTCTTGACAGGAGTAGAAAGCCTACAATGCAGGGTGGGTTCGAACTGCTGACCTTGTGGTTAGCAGCCCAACACACAACCCCATTGGGCCACCAGGGCTGCCCACAGTTCTAGGCAGCATGAAAAGCCTAAGATTCCCTCACAGCTACCAGACACAATGAGTTACGGAACAACTAACCAATTAGTTCACCAAGTGCCCCACCAGGAAAAATTAATAAGCCCAGTCCCAGTTTTATGCCTTCCTCTTCCTTGATGCCTGGGTCATAATCCTCTCCGTACCGAGTCCCACCTGGAGTTATCTGCACCTCTATAAATGTGGGAGGCTTCCCAGGCAGGAGGCGATAAGAAGATGCCTGGCCCCAATCCGGATTCTAGACAGGACTGAGAGCGGTGCAGCAGGTCCCACCTGCTGGAACATCTCCTAGGTCCCTGGCCCGGCAGCTGCCCGCACCAAGACTGGACCAGAAAGCATCAAGTCGTTCTCCCTGAGTGACTCCCGCCAAACAAACCACAGCCACCACCATCAAAACGATTCCGATTCATGGCAACCCCACAGGACAGAGTAGAGTGGCCCCAAAGGGTTCCCAGGCCTCATCTTTCTCCCTCAGAATGGCTAGTGGGTTTGAACTACCAACCATTCCATTTGCAACTGGGGTGGTCCTCCCTGAGTGGCCCAGTGGTCTCGCTCTAGCCTTTCCCCCAGATTCAAGAAGACAAGCTTAGCGCCTTGTCATGAACTGCTGGCTCCAATCTCTGGTACTTAATGGGGTGTGACGGCGGGGGAGGGTAGTTTCAAATTCTGAAAAATCCCACTTCTAGCCTCCGCTCATAAAAGTAGCCCGTGCCTCTGGATAAGTAATAGGTCTCCCCGTGGAGAGCCTGCCTCGTGCACTGGGAGTGTGTTCACCCACGTGCTCTCATGAGCTGTGAACTAGACAGACTGGCTCAGGGCGAGTGGCCTGTAATGGAAGTCGAGGACCCACCCTGGACTCAGAAGTCTTGGTCAGCTACAGAGTGCCACAGCCCACCCACCGCCTACAAGCATAGGCAAGGGGCAGTTTCACACGGTGGCATGCCAAACAGATACTATACTGTAGGGCTAACTTCCAGCCAGATGGAGGAGCGAGTCCTATTACACAAACCCTGCCCACTGACTTCGGGTCCATTCCATCTCATAGTGACCCCAACAGGGCAGAGCAGGGATCCTGGGGTTCATGGAAGCAGACACTTCATCTCCCTCCCTCGTGGGTTTGAACTTCCCAGCATGTGGTTGGCAGCCTGGCGCTGAACCACTGTGTCACTAGGGTTCTCTCTTATAACATCCGAAGCCTATTGGTTTCAAGTGGGCTCCAACTCACAACGACCTTATTTGGGGTTCCCCACGGCTATACATCTTTAGGGGAACCGACAGTCTCATCTTCCCCTGGCTGGGAGGCTGGTGGGTTTGAATCACGACTGTGTGGTTACCAGACCAAAGTCTAAACCACAGCGCCACCAGCCAGGGCTACTTAAAAAAAGTAAAAATTCAAAAAACGACGGCCCTCAAGTAGATTCGACTCACGGTGAGCTTGCATGGGGTTTCTGAGCCTCTTTAGTCTTTAGGGGACCAGACCAAGGGGTCGCTATTTCCCCGCACTGTCAGAGCCAGCTTCTCAAATTGTTCATGCACGACAGATTTTCAGAGAAATTATTATCCTTTTTTAAACCAGCAATCAATTCTTGAGGAACGCCCCAAAAGTACGAAGCGATTGGGAG